GTGTGTTTCACGCATAACTGGGATCTAAGTTTGAAATCTTTGGGCTTCACGGGGATGAGAGCTTCCTTAGAAAGTTTCAGCTTCCCAGCTTTTCTGATTCCCGAGCCAGCGATTTCCACCTCCCTCCTCCTCAAAAGAAAAAAAAAACTTCCATGAAGCTGTGATTGAGAACCACACACACCCGGGAGCTGAATTTGAAATCTTTGAATTCTACGTGAGCGGAGAGCATCCCCTGAAAACCTCAGCTTTCTAGCTTTTCTGGTTTCCGAGCTGGCGACTTTCCCGCCAAAACTTTCACGTAGTCGTATGCGAGGGCCGAAAGTGCATGAGGGTTGGCACCGCGGTCCCAGGGTAGCACTTGTCCTGGAAACCTGCCGGCAAAATTTCGGCACCGGAGTTTACCTGGTTGCCGAGTTGAAGTACCCGGACAGACATGCACATGGGCATAGACAGACAAACACACACATGCGTGCACCATGGGTCGTCACATTATTCGCTTTTGCATTTGCATATATGCAAAAAGACATAAAAAACTTAAAAATAAGTAATCAGTTTATTTCTTAAACAACTTTTAAGCAACAGTTTGACTGGAAGCCATCCTTGATAATCTGACATTCTAAATCGAGTTGCTAAACAAGTGCATTGGAATCATTACCTGGATTCAACTTACTAGGAAGGCACCTAGGCAACTTATTATCAGTCCACTGGACCAGCAAGCCTCTCTGTTCGAAAATGTGCACCAATCATTCCATCAAGTAAGCAAATCTGTTTCGAGGTGTGCCTATATAAGTCCCTTAAGCTAAGCAAACGTATCTGTTTTAGGATACGAAAGAAGCAATACAGTGGCTTAATCAGCCACCTTTGTTTCAGGATGTGCATAACATATTTCGCGTTTACAGTCTCGACATTTTTCGCACCTCTCATCGTAGGTTATTTGACTGCCAAATGGAGTATGTTCCTGGCCAGTACGTTTTATACAACATTCATGGTCACATTCATGTTTGTCAACAGCGCCGCTTTCTACACAACATCTGCTCTTATGGGTATTGGTGCAGCACGTAGGTTTTCATTTGCATTCAAAACTTCACTCTGTGCAGAAGTTGATGGCGTTTGCATATTAGCAACCTATTAATCACTAACACTGTCGACTGCTTTTTGTGGATGAGCACGATGGCGTAGGGGGAAAGCTAATAATTGGCCAGCGCACCGACTGCCGATGCGAAGATACGTTTTCCGTACAAGTCCCCGCAGATTTTGTAGCCAACGGCACTGCTTTTTTCAGCAGATGTTTCTAGCTAAAAGAATTGAGACTGGCCACCATAACTGTCAGAAAATATCTCCTTAAAATTTC